AATAGCATTTATTCATACTTTTCTTTTTTGGAATATCACTTTTATATATTTAATGACATTCCAAGCTGGTCTGTTATAATATGCTTTAAGCCTCACCCTAAATTTCATAAACTTAAGTGGCCATTAATAGTGTACCAGTCACCATCTCTCAGTGTGTGGAAGATACTCATCAATACAGTGGGAAAATGCCTAGGTCTTTTCTTAGCAAATGAGACTTTTTCTGGAGTCTTGGCTTTGGTGCCTTCTCTGGCTGGGGCACTACTTAAATGTCCTCAGTCTCTTGCCTCTTTATTTTTTAATATATCTTCCTTCTCAGAATTAAAACCCCATTTTGGCTCTTCATGGTGAACTTCAGTTTTTAATCTGTGGTACATCTCTCTTTAGCTACTAGAAGTAAGTGCACAAGCATCATGTATAGCATTTTCTAGCTCGTTTACATCTTTCTTATCAAGATCATCATCACGTATATGGACATTCTTTTGCAGTTTTATTAATAATCGGTCTTCATCAGTCAGTCATTCTCTCTGTCCTTCCCTTCCAAAATGTTATCTGTGGGTGAGGAATGATCAATCCAACTTAAAAACAATGAGGGATAACTAAAAACAATCATTAATTTCAAACTACTTGCTTTGTATATCAAACCTGTCACTTCTATTTTTCTACTCAAAATTAAATAATATATTAAACTAATTAGTTCTGTGGTACATTAAATCTTTTAGACAACTAGTATGCACAGTAGATTTACGACTTAAGTAAAGTTACACCTTCTTTTTTGGAGAGGTTTTTGTTATAGGGTACGTGTACTTGCCAGAAAGACAGAAAGAGACAGAAAGTAAGAAATCACTCCCCAGGGGAGATGGCCAAGCCGCAATCCCTTCTCCTCTATTCTCCTCTTGGGATCTTGGGCATGCATGCACATGTGCCTAGCGTGAGTTTAAGCCACTGGGTCTGGGACTCAAACCGTGGTTGACTACATGGGAGTCCAGTGACATAGCCATTATGCCAATTGCTGGTCCCAGTAACGTTACATCTTAACTCCCCTGTATGAACTTCCCCACATCTCCCATCTGCATTGCCCCTGTCTTATAGAAATCCCTCATTTCCTCAGACCTGGACATTCTGAGACTGTCCCAGAACTAGTGTTCTTACCTAGCATCTCATTCATCATCCACACCTGTGCTTGAATGATTCTTCTAAGTAAGTATATTCATTCATCATTCTCTTACTCAAAATTCCTTGTCAGTGTCTTAGCATAAAGTCACACTTCCCAGAATTGTGAATAACCCTCTCTGCACTCAGTGCCTGATTTGGACTATGCAGTTTTATATCTTTCTTCACCTTCCTAATCAATGTACTGGTTGTACTGGATTATCTGCAGCCCTTGAATAAGCCACGCCATTTTTCAGCACTACTTAACCCTATGCCTGGAATGCTCTTTCTATTCTGGTCCACGTGAAGAACTCCTATCAGCTTTCAAAATGCAGCACACGCCTCTTCATAAAGTAGTTCCTAATCCTTTTCCAGAGAAAACTAAACTACCTCCTCCTTTGTCCTTCCCCTCCTCCACAATTTACTAAAGGAACAACGATTTCTCACATTTGTAACATTTTTCTTAGTTCTGTATATAGCTGTCTCTATCTCTAAAATATAAACTCATATAATACGACTCAATAAATGTTAACTATACAATGAAGATGCATTTAAAACCAACAAATTTTCTTAGTATCTCTCTGGGCCTCAGGTAAACACTTCTGAAATCCCACTGGACATCTTCACCCAAATGTCCTGTAGATACCTCATGATCAAAACATCCATGCTAAAGCTTTCCCTTTGAAGTTATTTTATATAACCTTCATAATTTTAACTAAATATAATCTGACTTAAACTACAATAAAAACTCACCTCCTTACCTCTAGTCTCTCTCTCCTTCAATCTGCCCTTCAGGGTCAACAGTTAACTTGGTAAGAAAATCAGGGCCAGGGACTAGCAGTTAGCATAAATGCCTATGTTGCTGGACTCCCACATGAGTCCCAGACCTGGTGGCTTAAAGTCATGCCGGGCGCGTGTGTGTGCATGCCCAAGATCCCAAGAGGAGAATGGAGGAGAAGGAACTGTGGCGTGGCCATCCCCCCTGGGGGTGATTTCTCACTTTCTGTCTCTCTGTCTCTCTCTGTCTGGCGAGCGCATGCGCTCTATAGCAAAAACCTCTCAAAAAAAAAAAAAAAGAAAGAAAGAAAGAAAATCTGGGCCAGAAGATAGATGGCATGGAGGTTAAGGTGCTGGATCCTACATGGCCACGTTACAGTGAGAGAGCCTGGACCTTGAGGCTTGAAAATCATGCTGGACATGTGTTTATGCATGCCCAAAATCCGGAGAGGAGAGTGGAGGTGAAAAGACTATGGCCATTCTGCCTGAGGGGTGATTTCTCATGTTCTCTTTCTCTTTGGTGAGCACACCTACCCTATAGCAAAACCTTAAATGAATAAATAAATAAGTAAATAAATAAAATATGATAATGCCACTTCCCTACTTAAATAATGTTCTCTTTGGCTTATCTTTAGAGGATAAATTAAAAAGATTTGTCAAGAACACTTACAATCTGGTAATACCTACCTTTTCAACCTCATCTCTTGCAAATTTCTCACAGGGTCCTTAAACTAGGATTCTACAGAAATGCATAGAGAAACATAGAAATATGGGAAATAGCGAGCTATTACAAATAAACATATAGATGTTTCTAGCTGCCAAAGGAAGGAAAAGAAAACAAAATCCAATTTTTAAAATTTTTTTGGCCACATTTAAAGGTGCTGTAAGGTAACAGTATTAGCCTACTTATGGAATATACACACTGATACATATCACGAATATAAGAGGGTGCCAAGAGCAATGAAAAGCTACATTTGGCACTCAAGGCAGTGAAACGAACCTGGGGGACAAGCATAATCATACAGCTGTTTAGATTTGGGTTGTGCCTAGCATACAGTTGGTACTTAAAAAAAATGTTGACTGATACATGATCAGAACAGAAATGTTTACTTATGCTAAGATTACCCACTTCTCTTTGCTCCTGGATAAGAGAGTCAATAAGTCTGCTCATTGTGTGAAAGGGATCTTTCTCATTATCAATTAATAAAGTGGTATTCTGGTTTACAGAGTAGTCTCTTCTCCAGAACGACTCCAAGTCATTAGACAAAATGAACCTCATGGATCTAATATGCTGAGGACCAGTCCTCAGGCAATGGTAAATTCCTTAACCTAACAGAAGCTTATAAGTTTGGTTTCACAGCTGTCACCCAGTCTATCCTAGTGCTACCTCAGCTGCTGACAGGAATACATACCACATCTTCCCTTCTGCAGGTATGCTAAAAACCAATTCATAGCTCATTGCTTTTAGGAAGGTTTTTGATCTTCCTCTTTTCTCCAACATTTGTTGTTCTTGTTTCTGTACTCCTATCTTTATTCAACTCTATCAGTTACCATGTGATACTGTACTATAATTATCTGCTTCTCTCTAGCTTCTGCATTCTCTGAAGGCTGGCATTATTTTTATTATGTGCTTTTCTCGTAAGGATAGATTCATGGAGTGAATTGCATTTTTCTTTTAATTGCCAGAGGGCATGTGTGCTTTCAGAGAGAGTAAAGTACTCCCCAATGGCGCGTGGTCATGCTATTACCTCAATTTTTCCATCCTTTTCAGATATGGAGTGTACACACACACACACACACAACACACGTGTGCGCTCATGCACGCACACCCACAGACACCTGGAGTATTTTTTCAAGGCACTGGGGCTGAGATTCAAATTGCAGTAGGCCATGTGGGATCTAGCTCTCTTGACCACTAGAGGCTATGAGCCAGCCCTCACTGAGTGAATCATCAAGATTTGCAAAACTTCAAACTGACTTCATTATCTACAAAACTGAAGTTAAATAAAATAACAAAAAACTGAACTAAATTAATTCTCATTTATATTAATTTTAAAGAAAACAGTTATCATAAAACACATAGGAAGATAAGAAATTACTGCAAAACAGATATATTTATTTGATAAGTGTGGGAACTGCTATTAGAAAGGCTTGAAAAGGTGTCCCCTCAGAGACTGAAACACATTTGGTTTACCAGATACGTGTCCTGTGTCACTTAACTAAACCTAAACATTAGTTTCCTCTGTAAAATGGTATTACTAAAACCAATCTCACAGCAGTTCTGTGAAGATTAAGAGAGATAATGCATTTATGTAAGTCTCAGTTATTGATGGGGTATTTAATATAAATATTTCTGCAGAACCACACAATAGTAAAATTAACTTGTCTTATCCCTCATTGAAAGCTTCTGGGAAAAAAAAGAAGCTTCTTCCCATTACAGATCACATACTATTTCCCATAAAGTCCAGAAAAACTGGTTGGCCCACCCTGGGATAAAAGAGACAGAGAATAGGGGAAGTTAAATATGACTCAATTTATATTTCCATATACACCATTTACATTGGGCTGGAAAACAGTCTGTTAGAAACATGGAAACTGTCTGATTCTTCTTTAAAAGAAACTCTGTGATATCCAGAAAGCATATCGGTCCAAGAGGTCACGTTAAACCCAGGTGCTGTAGCACTAACGAAAAAAAAAGCGCTCTTTTTTTTTTTTTTTTTCCCAACTTTTTTTTTTTTTTTTAGAGGTTTTTGCTATAGGGCAAGTGCGCTTGCCAGAGAGAGACAGAGAGACAGAAAGCAAGAAATCACCCCACAGAGGAGATGGCCACGCCACAACCCCTTCTCCATTCTCCTCTCGGGATCTTGGGCACGCACACACACGTGCCCGGTGTGAGTTTTAAGCTACCGAGTCTGGGATGCGAACCGTGGTTGACTACATGGGAGTCCAGCGACATAGCCATTACGCTAACTGCTGGTCCTTTGAACCATCTCTTAAAGCAAAGAAATATGGCCACATTATTTTTAAAATGCTACTAGGAAATAAGTAACATAGGTATCTAAAATTCCTCTTACGCTCTTCTGGTTTCATTTCAGTTATTTTTTGTAGCCAGTTTTTCCATGTTTGGCAGTCACAAGGCTCATGTGCTTCACCAAGGCACTCCCTAAAGAAGAAAACACACAAAAGACAATTAGAAAATGTTCTTCATCTACATTAAGGTGAAAAAAATTGAGAAACTCTTCTATTTTTTTTTTTTTTGAGAGATTTTTTTGCTATAGGGCATGCACTAGCTGAAGAGAAAGAGCAAGACAGAATGTGAGAAGTCACTCCTGGGGGGATGGCCACGCTACAATCCCTTCTCCTCCATATTCCTCTCAGGATTTTGGGCATGCATGAACATGTGCCCTGAATGAGGTTTAAGCTGCCAGGTCCAGGATTCGAACCATGGTAACCTATGTGGGAGTCCAGAAATGTAACTATTACATCATCCACTGGACCCAAACTCTTCCAATTTTAGAGTTAAGAAAAACAAAGACAAAAAGACTAATTACAGATGAAGAGCTATTTATTTATTTATTTGGGAGAGGTTTTTTTCTATAGGGCATGTGTACTTGTCAGAAAGACAGAGACAAAGAGACAGAAAGTGAGAAATCACTCCCCCAGGGGGGATGGTCGCAATCCCTTCTCCTCCATTCTCCTCTTGGTATCTTGGGCATGCACGCACACATGCCCGGTGTGAGTTTAAGCCACGGGGTCTGGGACTCAAACCACGGTTGATTACATGGGAGTCCAGCAACATAGCCATTACGTCAACTGCTGGTCCCCAGATGAAGATTTAGCAAAAAAAAAAAAAAAAAAAAAAAAAAGCCAAAGGGCATGTGTGCTCAACAGAGAGAGAGAGAGAGAGAAAGAGAGAGCGAGCGAGCGAGCGAGCGCAAGAAAGTATCCCCATTGAGCATGATCATGCTGCAATCCTTCCTCTATTTCTCCCTCCTTTAGGGATTTGGGTATGCACATGTGCCAGGCATGTTTCTCAAGCCTCTGGGTCTGGGACTAAAACCATGCAATTGGCCATGTAGGAGTCAGCTGCCTTAACTGCCAGGCCGTGGGCTGGTCCCACATGAAGCACTTTAATAGAGAAATTGAAAGTATTGTTTTTAGAGCTTAATCAGATCAATTTAAAAAATCAGTACATTCATTTATACTTTTTTTTTTTTGAGGTTTTTGTCTTAGAATGCATACACTTGCCAGAGAGACAGAGACAGAGAAAGGGAAATTGAAAAATCATCCCCCAGGGGGACAGCCACGACGCAATCCCTTCTCCATTCTCCTCCTGAGAGCTTGAGCACACATGCACGCACATGTGCCCTGTTGATTTTCAAGCCACCAGGTCTGGGACTTGTACTCAAAGAACTGTTTATGTGGGATCCAGCACTCAATCTCCATGATACTTGCTGGACTCCAAAAGAGCCTAAAGCCTTTATGAATTGCTCATTTTAATTCAATATGATGTAGGTCATTTTGCATAGGAAAAAAAAATCTAGAGGTGACATCATTATTATATTATTTTAAATAAAAATATTACTTGCAAAAATTAAGATTTTAAAATTTATTTTATTAAAGAATTATTTTTTATTTTACTTTATCTTAATTTGACCAGAGAGAGAGAGAGAGAGAGAGAGCGTGCGAGAGCGAGCAAGCTGCCAGGTTCAGGACTTGAACCACAGTTGGCCATGTGGTAGTTCAACACCCTTAACCACACTTCCTACCGGCCCCAGATTAATTTTTTTTAAGAAAATACACCAATTGACTCAGAGTCTTACAAAATGTATACTATATTACTATATTAAGAATGTACCAATTCTTCTTCATACTCATTAGGATGGCTATTATCAGAAAAAAAAAAAGTGATTGGTGAAGATGTACAAAATTGGAACTCTCGTGACATTACTAAAAAAAAATGTAAATGGTGATGTAGCAACTATGGAAAACAGTTTGGTGGTTACTCACAAAGTTACCATAAAATTCAGCAATTTCACTCTAAGCATATACCTTAAAAATCTCAAACAAGGACTCAAACTTGTACACCAATGTTTACAGTAGCAATGTTTTCAACAACTAAAAGGTGAAAACAACCTGAGTGTCCATCCACACAGATGAATGGGCAAATCACATATGCATACAGTGGGATATTATTCAACCATGAAAGTGATAATCTGACACATGCTATAACATGGACAAACCATGAAGATATTTTGTTAAATAAAATAAACTAGACACAAAAGGGCAAATATTGTAGGATCCTACTTATATTGAATAACTAGTATAGGTCGTTTCATAGAGACAGAAAGTATAATGGTGGTTATCACCATCTGAGAAGATGAAAGGATTGAGAATTACTGCTTAATGGCTATGGCTATAGAGCTTCTGTTCAGAATCATGAAAAAGTTCTGAAATCGACAGGGGTGATGGCTGGATGGTGAATGCAATTAATGCCACTAAATTGCATACTTACAAGAATTTAAATGGTAGAGAAAAAGGGAAAGAACCAATTACCTTAAAAGGATAATTTAGTTTTCCTTAAATTACGGATTATTTTTTTTTTAAACCTAACCTTGTTTTTAGGATATCTGTTCTCTATCTGTGGTTTTATAGAAGTCCTAGGACCTTAGTGGTAACTAAAAAGTGCATTCAAAAACATTACTTTTTTGGGATCAGCAGTTAGCGTAATGGCTATGTCACTGAACTCCCACGTAGCTGCCTACAGTTCGAGTCCTGGACCTGGTGGCTTAAACTCATGCTGGGCGCATGTGCGTGCGTGCCCGAGATCCTGAGAGGAGAATGGAGGAGAAGGTATTACAGCGTGGCCATCCCCCCTGGGGGGTGATTTCTCGCTTTCTATCTCTCTGTCTGTCTGTCTTCCTGGCGAGCACACACGCCTTATAGCAAAAAAACCTCTCCTGAAAACATTTTTTTTTTTTTAGGAGAGATTTTCGCTATAAAGCACACTGAAGAGGCAGAGAGACAGAAAGCAAGAAATCATGCCCCTCCCCTGGGGGGGGGATGACCACGCCCAATCCCTTCTTCTCCATAATCCTCTTGAGATCTAGGGCATGCACACACACATATGCCTGGCGTGAGTTTAAATCACTGGGACTGGGACTTGAGCTAGGACGATTAAAATTCACACTGCGAACGTGTGCATGCCCAAGATTCCGAGAAGAGAATGGAGGAGAAGGGACTGCAGCATGGCCATCCCTCTTGGGGGTGATTTCTTGTTTTCTGTCTCTCTCTGTCTCTCCAGCCAGTGCCCATGCCCGATAACAAATATCTCTCTCTAAAAATTAAAAAAAAAAAAAAATGTAGGGTATAAATACCGGAGATCCCAACAGGATAGAGAAATGGAAGAGTTGAGATTATTGTGTGACCACACCCTATTGGGGGAGAGAAATGCTTTTATTGGCTGCTCTTTCTGGTGAATGCATGAACTCTCTGGCCAAAAAAATTTTTTTTATGGAGAGATTTTTTTGCTCTAGGGGCGTGCACTTGCTGGAGAGACAGAGAGATGGAGAGAGAAAGAGAAAGTGAGAAATCATCCCCCAGGGGGGATGGCCATGTCACAATCATCTCTCATTCTCCTCTCCAGATTTTAGGTTGGCATGTATGCATATGCACCCGGCATGAGTTTTAAGCCGCTAGGTCTGGATGTGAATTGCTGTCGGCCATGTGGTTCAGTGCCTTAACTACTGTGCCACCTGCTGGCCCCTCTCTGGCAAAATTTTTAAAAATTGAAGTGGAGGGGCCAGCAGGTAGTGTGGTAGTTAAGGAGGTGGGATCCCACATGCTGACTGAGCAGTCAAGTCCTGGACTAGAGGCTTGAAAAACACACTGGGCACATGTGCATGTAGGATCAAAATCATGAGAGGAGAATGAAGAAGAAGGGATTGTGGCATGGCTGCCCCCCCTCCCCACCCCCACGGGGTGATTTCTCATGTTTCCTCTTCTCTCTCTGGCTAGCACACATGTCCTGCAGCAAACAAATAAAAAAATGAAAGTGGATATATCAGATTCATTCTAGTACATAGTAAAATCAACTCTACTTTCAGAACTATATGGGGTATCTGTGAAAACAAATCATATGAATATGGCACACATACTAGCATACATTAGAATAAGAAATATGCCACAGACCTAGAAACAGTGTTTCCAGATGGTGCATAAGAATACATGTGGGAATGTAAAATTCAAAATTTCACAACTCACTTTAAAAAAAAAAAAAAAAAAAAAAGAGCCTGTTTGTTAATTATACCTCAAAGTGTTGAGGCACAAAATAACCATGCACATCTGCAGAACAATAAAAACAAGTGAAGTTAATAAAATAAATGATTTCATTAAGATTTTTTCACTACAGATTAAAAAGCATGTTCAATAATCTATTCCTAGCAGAATCAATACTAGTATACTAATTCTTTTGTCAGGACATTTTCTGACAGAAAAAAGAGGGAGAAAAAAGCCCAGTGTTTTGAAATAGAATCTAAAAAAAAAAAAAAAAAAAAAAAAAACCACCACTTTTTCAAAAAGCCATAATTTCTCATCAGTGTATTTGGTTCTCTGAGGCTGTGCTGCATTAGACAGAAACAGGCTGTCTTTTCTTGAACCTCACTGGAGGACAGAGACCTGCTGCTCCCTGGGTGCTAGCCCAATCATGGGATCACTTCAAGATGTTCTAACAGGTTGGCATAATTTCTATTAGTTTTCAGTGCACTGCTAAGAGCGGCTATAAAAAGAAACAACGTATAAATAAAGAAGAAGCTATATCAAAACTCTAAGAGAGCTAGCAGTTGCCATTTAATACTACTTATTATTTTTGAAAACTAAGTCATCTGGGGAAAGAAACTCATACCCCTCCAAAGCATAGTATTAACAATGCCATCAGATGTAACATGTGGTTGATAATCTAGATTATCTATATAGGGAAGAGAGGTTATTCTGAGAAAAATGAAGCTACTAGAGCATTCTGTAGATATTGGAGTAATAAATTCTCTAAGAAAGTTTTAGCCAATGACTGGTGACAGGTATTCCGAAGAAACTGGTCCTGTTGTTGAAACTGCACCTCAAAATTTCAGTAAAGCAAGTAGATGGGGAGGGAAAAATTGGCAGATA